TTAAATCTACAAAGTTGTTAAATAAATAATATTTCTAAACCCCAGTGTATGAAGCATGATAATTCATTCAACACTTTTTTGGTTGAAATTTGTCAAAAGAGTTGTATGATTTTATTTTTAGAAAGTTTAGTTAAAGCTAATTTTATTTATTTCACACGTTTGGGTTATTAACAAAGTTTAATGGTTCATGCCAAATGGGATTATTTAACAAAAAAAAACTTAAATGTCTTTTGAAAAATAGCATAGTTACATGAAATAATCATTATGATATTTGTTTTAGTTCAAACTACTACTGACTTGTGCCATCATTAACTTTGTTTCGTGTGTACCTATGAATGTATGTAACAACTACAAGTATTTGTATGACCAGTGTCTGCCACACAGGAGTTGGATATGTGATAAACCAGCTGGTTATTCCCCCCTCGATATGTAAGTAGTTCCCATAAATGTAACTTTGTTTTCATAATTCATCTTAAGATATGCCCTTAAGATATCCTTACAAAATGTGAATCTTCAATTTCCGTTATTCAGTTTTGATATATTTAAAATTTGTTTGTTGGTTCATTTTATGACTGTAAATAAATGTAAGGCATGAATAATTAATGCAAAGAATAATACACAAGATATAAATATGATTAAAAAAAATATAATGCAAGATAGAAAAATAACTTATGCGACTAGGAATAAATATAAGTTTACTAAGTTAAAAAGAAGTGATTCTGAGTATGGTCAACCATACGCGAGGGCCCTCTTGTTGAAATCAGATACAAATTACTGTTAATAAAACTATTGATGATCTATAGAATCGAAATACTTTTGCCTTGCATGTGCTGAAAAGGTAAGCAATTGTTTAGAAATTATTGTCGCCATGGAGACTAATTTTTCCATGGTATCACTTTCTTTTAAAGTATTAAAATGTAAAAATTACAAATATTAAATAAGATTTTTCAATTGAAATATACATAAACAAATACTGATGTATACCGTTGTTTATCAATTGTCTTATAATTGAAATTGTTGTCTTTTAAATTTGTTCTCTGTTTTAAAGGCGTGGATTGAGACAAAAATTGTCACAAAGTGATGGATCATTTATCCACTATATCAAGTCATGCAGTGAGTGTTTAGGAGAGCCAGCTCCATATAGGTAATTATCATTTAAACCTTATTGCACAATAGATAAACTTATTTAGATATGTATGTATCATTTCTTAGTATATGCATCGCACACTTCAGCTACTATTTCTACCAATAAATGTCTAAATTATCTCCATACAATTAAGCACCTAAAGTTGTCTCTACTACATTTGATAATAAATGGTAAGAGGTAACGTAATTCAACCGATGGACAAATCAATATATGAAATTAATAAAAATATTATTTAGAGCAGAGACGGATTGACAATTAAAAGTTTGGATTGATTGATATTAAGGTCCAGTGGGAATTATTAGATGCATATCAGAACAGTTAAGATTTTTACCCAAATTAACATTTTTTCTTTAATCTCTCCAACCCTAGTATTATTATTGATGAAAATGGGCAATACTATTTTTCTCTAATGACAGTTGCATTTATGATTATAAAACCTACCTCAGAAATTTCTGCACTAGAAAGTGGAAGTCTTGACGGAATGTAATTGTTTAGTTGTTGTGCCACTAACATGATACCCCTTCATCCCATTTTATTTCAATTAAAAATTATGTTAAACGGTAGAAAAAAATATTTTCTGTCGTTCCTTTTCAGTTTAGGCAGCAGAGGCGGCTTCTGTCATCTTGGATCATGCAATAGAAGAAATCATTTGGTCTAAATGCATTATGCATTTAGCAAAGTTTGAGATAGAATGCTATTCATTTGTAAGACTTTATATAAATGAGAAACATTATTGTATTTCATCTTATTAATTCGACTGTTTTTACAAATACAGAATATTTTTGATTGATTAAAGAAAATAAACTTTGCCTTACAATTAAGGGAAGATATCTTAGATATATCAATTTCATAAATACAGTATTTTTTTTCATTTTGTACTACAGCAAAAAAAAAAAGTTACTGCATGTTATCTTTTTATTTTTCATTTTCTAAGAACTGATAAATTATTGTTGAAATAAGAATTAAAAAATTAAAAATTAAAAAATCACTTGGAAATGGTACCAGATTATTTTTATTTGCATAGATATTTATATTTCAGGGGAAAAGTAGATTATGTAAAGAAACCAGTTTGTCGTGAAGTTAAGGTACCAATTGAATATATAAACAAAACAGTGTATCATGAACTGACTGGAGTAGCTGAAGGCTATGAAGTGTGTCAGGTCTTACTGAATGGCCCCGACAGAAATGTACAGAAAGTTTACAGGACGGATTGTTATAACGGGTAAGATGATTAACTGCATTTCATTGACTGATTAAGAAGCTTCATAATCATTACTATACAACTTGTAAAGTGCGAAAAGCAACTCAGTAATACTGGTCTTGCTTGATTTCAGATATGAACATCTCCATCTGAACTTCATCAGGCAATTTAATTATGTTATATAGTTCAATATATCATTTGAATGTTGCTTCCGTTATTGTCAGTGGTCAGTAAAATATAAAGTCATCTATAAAGTTGCAATAATGTTAAATAAAGATGCTGATAATATCTTGGCTAAGTTTCCATAATCCCGTTAAGGACAGATGTATTGTAGTACATCGTTGTCCTACCATCCGTCTGTCCGTCGTAAACATGTCGCATACTGACTTATGAAGGTCTCCAGCTACTTTATTCCAATTACCCGAATAATCAGAATGGTTGTCTGATGGTCTATATACTTTTTGGTGATTATCACTTGTGTCGGTTGGACAGTTATGGGACTTCGAAATTTAAGAATTTTTTTACACGCATTGAACAACAGGCTCCATTTATAACGCTGACAATGTCTTTTATAACAATTGATGGGGACATATCTATTATGTGTTTAGTGTAATTTCTCTACCCCCCCTCCCCCCCCCCCCCCCCATCATTTAACTATTATTTTAACTTTTTATTGTGTTCTTATAAACATTGCAGTTGCATATATTATAACGAAAATTAATCAACAAAATTCTTGATAATCCTGCACAAGTTCGTATATATTTTATTCACAAAGTTTAAAATTAATTTTTGTTGGCTTAAGATTTTTTGTATAATATATAATCAAACGAAATCTTAAAAGAGCATTTTATTTGCAAAACTTTTTGTACAATCCCATTTGTTTTATTAATTCATTCATTCTTTCATTTTTGTATTCTTCATTTTGTTAATTGAAAGTTAACCTTTGATTTTTCAGAGATGAGAGAAAACAGAACAATTACTGTAGATTTGACTATGGGGTGTTCAAGCAATATTTTTGTAGACCAACAAACTTTGTGTACAGAACCATGCTTATTGACTGTCCATTGACGGGATTACAGTATTACAAAGAAAAGGTATCAACAGCATGTAGCTGTGTTAAAGTCAAATGTTTAACAGGAGAAGTTCCGGGACCCTTTAACAATCATGGGATCAGACAGGGACCCGTACACATCCAACAAAGGACAAAAACAATAGTTGGAACAAAACCAGGCTTGTCTTGAAAATCCGAAGAATGTGTAGCTGACTGTGATATTTATGTTTTACAATGTTTTGCTATTTGTATATTGATTTTGTTTTGTTATTGTTACGGTATAAGTACGCAAATAAATTCGTCAATTAAGCTGTAATCATTTCATTCTTTGAAGTCTCAAACATACATATGATTATTTTTATCACTATAAAAACACTTAGTTATTTTGATTCATAAATAGTACATTCATGTGTAGTCTCGTATTGTTAAATTATCTCCAAGAAACGTGTCCATTATCGCCCTCAGGGGATATAATCTGTTTTAACATGTCTTTTGTTCAGACACCTGTAACTGGACATTTCCATGTATTGACACTTCAATTAAATGATTTGCAGGAACTGTTGATTTGTCGATTGTTTTTGTATGTATGGAGTTTCCATAAAAATAAGGACTGAGGTGTGGTATGATTGCTAGCGTCAACCATCCACCAGACCAGATAATGAGAATGTATACATGGCCATGTACAGCATTCAACAATATACTAAACCATTACCGTATAGAAACCTATACAAAGCCCTGGCAAGAAAAATGTGAAACAATTCAAAAGAGAAAACGAACGTCCTAATTCATGCTAAAATCAATAAACGAAAAAAATATTTAAAACAGCAACCACTTAAGTTCCTGTTTACTATTAGTGGTTCATGTTATCCTGACCCAACTACAAACTTTCACATTAAATATGCAATTTGTCAATAAACTATGACTGAGAGGGTAAGGTTAAATAATTTTCACGGAAATAAGATGAGCCAATGCTAATACAACTGCATACTGAAAATCATTGACTTACACTAGTTGTTTCCCTGAAACTGACCTAATCACAAAAACTTAAATACATGTAAACTAAGCAAAAGTTTCGATGTCAATTGACCATGAATAAGGGGGCAGGGTCAAATAAGCTCTATGGAAATGAGACGTGCCAATGCTAATACAACTGTAGACCAAATATCATTGAATTAATACCACTACTGGTTTCTGTTAAATTTACCTTATCACAAACTTTAATTTGGAAACTAAGCAAAAGTTTCAACGTCAATTGACCATGACTTAGGGGGCAGGGTCAAATAAGCTCTATGGAAATGAGACGTTCCAATGCTAAAACAACTGCAGACCAAATTAAAAAAAAATTTATCATTGATTTACCTCTACTAATTTCCATTAAACTGACTATTTCACAAACTCTAATTTGTAAAAGTTTTCAAAGTCAACAGACCATGACTGAGAGAGGGTTTAGGGAGGGGGCAATAATACACAAAGTATCATATCCATTAATTGGGATGAAAACCAATTATTAGAACCTTCCAAACCTGTTATTGACGGACTGATAACAGATGCAAAGAGATGGCAAAAGATCACACGACCTCTAGCTAAAAGATCTTAAAGAGTACAGTAAAAAAAATTTTTTTAATTGAAAACATTAAAATCAATACATAAGTAAATTTCTGCATCTTACATACTATACCATGTAAACAGTATACAGTTGGAATTAGGAATTTATAACTAAATTATCATAAAATTCTACTTAATGCAATTTTTAAATAACAGAGTTTATAAATGTTCTCAAGACTTCTTAATCATTCATTGTAATTTTTAATCGGAACAGAAAGAAGGCTTTCAAATGACTTGGAATATCCAATCTGATTCAAATACAGATCTGATTCCACACTTTGCTTACAAGGATCTGACAACACTTCTTTCTACTTTCTTTTCTCGTAATTATTACATCGGCCAATGAAATTCCTGCCTACAAACTTTTAAAAGTGTCTATCATTGCAACAAAACCAGAAGGTCTTAAAAATAGAAAGTTGACCAGAGCTTTGTCAGAACCTTGTTAGCAAAGCGTTGACACAAGATCTGTAATTTAATTAGATTGAGATTATCATTATTCATAAAATAAAACAACACTGACTAGAAGGTTTTGTAGAAATCATTGAATAAAATTAACATTAAATGTCATAATGATAATATTAGAAAACTCAAGTAAACAGCTTGTAGCCTAGGCTTTAAATGTAATGACCATGTCTATTTTAGTCACGCAGCGTTAAACTTGTTCACTTAAAGTTTATACTGTGGATTCATAATAATTCGTTGGATACTAATTTTTGTGTAATTATGTGTATAGGTAAACCATGAGTTAAAAATGTTCAACAGTGTACAAATTATCTATAGGCATATATACAGACTTTGGGAAAACCACAAAATCAAATATCCATCAAATTACAATTTTCCTTCATTCCATAAAAATTGGTATCCACCAAAAAATCCACAGTAATAAAAAATGTCAAAAAAGACAAACAAGAGGCTGTCCAGTGACAGCAAACCAGATTTTCCTGCAGAGGTCGGACCTTGAACAGTTGAGCAAGTATGGACACAACATTTAAGCTTGAAACAGCTCTGAATTTGGATTGTGATTGAATATTTATAATAGATTATTATCTAATTAATAATGAAAATATTATTTGCAAATCTGAACCCAAAACAGGCTCATGTAAAAATTGAACATTAACACACACAACAAAAATAAAATACCACATAACAACTGTGACATCTACCTTCATAACACACATGACTTAAAAAAAATAGTTATAAAGAAATGTTGATGTTATCATTACTGGTTCATGGAATAAGTTTGAGTTATTTCCCTTTGAACAGAAATATGGTTTAACATAGTATTCTAATATTAGATATGATTTCACTAAAAATAGTTCTCTAAAATTAGATATGATGTAACACAATGTATATCTATTTTCAAATCATAATCAAATATGATTAATAGTTCCAAATATTTTTTCTTTCATTTGCCACAAACTAATATAGATCTGCAACTTATCTATCAACTTTATCTACACAATGTAATGTAATGAAATATATCCTTTAATAAAAATAGATTATTATCTAATTAAAGGAGTTCACTTCATAAAAAAAAAATTATATATATAGCATTCAGAAAATTAGTTTATACAGAATAACAAACAAACCTTCCACAAAATTCTTCAAACAATTTACCAAAGAAAAGAAAATAAATCCAAAATGTCATTTATCATTAATACAATGTCTTTTAAAAATCTTTTAAAAAATGAGTTATTTCCCTTTGTACAGAAATGGATTAATTCGTCAAAAATTGAATTCTTGGGAAAGGGCTGTAACTCAACAACGAGAAAAGCTAAAACCATTAAAATTAAACTTGACCTTCATTTAGTCCCAGGAAACAACATATCTAAATTTGAAAGCATTTCTTCAAAGCGTTTTCATGTAAATGAACATACACTGTTTGGCAGCTGCCCGCCCGGCCGCTGTACATTCCCAAATCAATAACCGATTTTTACTTCGAAAATCCGGTTAAAAATGTAAATGTGTTTACATTCTTCGTTATAGCATGAATTTCATTATTTAAAACAAGAGAAACAGATTTCTATTATTCAATATTATTAAGTGACATAAAATCTTTGATTAACGTCCTACGTTCTGGCTCCATTAGAATGTCTTTTGGATTTGAATAATATATTATAGCTTTATCATTTTCGTCAAGATCTTCATAATCTTTAAGTTTCTGGTAATGTTTTCTTGTCATTTCCAGCAATGTAAAGAAAACCTGAAAAATAGAATTTTAGGAATCATTTTCAAAATAAAAGTATCAAATGATTAGATTAACTGATCGTTTCACCAGCCTCTGGTTTCAACAGCTTCTTTCAGTGAATAAATTTTTAGTTAAACACAATGTATATCTATTTTCAAATCATAATCAAATATGATTAATAGTTCCAAATATTTTTTCTTTCATTTGCCACAAACTAATATAGATCTGCAACTTATCTATCAACTTTATCTACACAATGTAATGTAATGAAATATATCCTTTAATAAAAATAGATTATTATCTTTTTTTGTCAAATTTGATTATTACAACCCTTTTTATTTATAGTAACAACATTTACGAATTCAGCTCAGGACAACAAACTGAACATTTCCATTAAGTTTGTTTAAGTTTTCCCCAGTGGTTTCTGAAAACAAGCTATTGACATACAAAATTCCATAAGGCATGAAAGATTCATCATGATCAATGTTGTAATGTATGAAACCCAAGCAGCCTGATAAAAATCTTTGTAGAATGTCTCCCAATAATGCTTCCTGCAAACATGGTAAAGTTTTATCTTGCAGTTGCATAGAAAATGAAATTAAAAATTGACCAATCAAGACCTAGAACTGCCTCTGGCTGACAAGTTATTTGTTGGATAGGAATTCTGATAAAGCATTTTCCATTCATTATTCCTATTAAGTTTTGTTCAATTTGAGGGAATTTTCCAAGCAGAAGAAAATTTAAAAATGTTTTCACCAAACAGACACAAAAGAGAACATTACAAGCCCTGATTGCAATGTTGAATTTCTGATCATAATGAAAAAATATACATTCTGGTGAGCTCCACCTAAGAAATATTCCTGCTTAATCTATTTTCCTAGCTGGTTTCTCAGAGCATACTATTATTATTTGCATTATTCTATCAATAAGGTTCAATGGAAACCTACAATGTATGTGTCATTGCTGCTGTAAAAGCCATCCAATAAACATGTTTATAGAAGAATGTTTATAGACAGTCCCTTAATTATCATTCCAGTAAGGTACAAAAAAGATTTACCTTTGCATTTTCAAGAGATGAATTTAAATTTGAAGGATCAATGAAATAATGAATAGTGTCCAGCAGCAAACATTCCATGTTTATCAGAATGAAAACACATTGAAGATATGACACATGTATGAATACATAAAATGTAAGTATCCTGTTAGTACTAACCCTACAAACTGAAATGCATACAATTTTTATACCTGCTAGAAGACATGTGAAACTTCCTGGTTGCATTACTCTGACTCATTGCCAATTCATCATGCATTTGGTCTTACTCATATCAAATCTCATGTGCTTAATGGAGAACCCATAATCTTCTGGCACTTGACACCAGCATACTACCAAGAGACAATTAAGGCAGAACTTTAGAAATTGACCAGTAAAATAAAGTATTGCCTCTAGCAGGCTGTTTTTTGTTTTTCATCAGACTTCAGTCACTGTGGAATTATTCAAAAATTATTCAAAATTATTCCTACCAATTTAAAAAAAACATATTTTTGAAAAAAGCATTAAATATAAGTATTGATCAACTTATGTCATCCAGAAATAGGTCAAACAATGATTCTGACCAAGCAGGTTTGACAAATTTAATCGATTGATTGTTGGTTGCTTAATGCTCAGAAGTAAATAGTTCATGCATGTTCAGGACGATGTTGAATTTGAACATCTCTACAACTTACTCTAGTTCCATTAACAATCATCCCAGTCATTGTTAGATTCTTTCTTACTTCATCTTCTGAATGTAGTTTTTCATCTCCTTTATGTTTGTTGTGCAGATCTAACAACAATTCTCCTGCATGCTGACCCAGAACTCTATCATTTAAGTCTACTTCTATAGACAACTCTTCTGTATCACCAGATGCTAATGTTTCCATGCTTGAGGTAGAATATTTTGAAAGTACATTTTCACTGATAAATCCTGATCTTCTTGATCTTTCTCTAAATGTCTTTCTTCGTTTCTTAGTTTTACCTGAAGGAATCACTGGGTTGTAAGTTAAATCTGGTATTACCTGTATTAAAAAAGAGTAGCATATACATATATTTAGCTAAAATTTAAAATAATAGGCATATATAACTCATATAAAGCGTTCTTCTATAATGAAAATGTAACTAGGCTATACATGTAAGTACTTAAAAATGTACTGGAACTGCAATGAGATGATTAAAGCTGTAAATTTTCTCCTTGACTTCATCTATGTACCTTTAGAAAATAAATTTTATCAACTGTAAGCATCCCTATGAGTACCAACTTGTCCCATAAATAGCAGACTGTTCTGAACCACAGTTTATGGCAAAATCAGTAAAGATTTGTCTAAATTCAATTTAATCGAGAGAAGAAAATGTTGATTTCAAATCCTCAATCATAAATAAATTTCTAATTATAATGCAGAAATGTACCCAAGGGAATTAATTTAAAATAGATCTTATATAAACAGCAATAATCAGGAAATTGTCCTCTTCTCCATTTTGATATATCAGGTTCAAACAGGAAGCTCTCTACAAGTATTTAGAACAAAAAAGCTTTTGTTAATTTTTCTTTCTTGGACTGTGACCTTCCTTTGACCTCTCTAGTGTATGTTTCCCAGCTTAATTGCTATGCCAGTGTCTGTAGTAACAAATGGCTGTGAAATAGCTTTTAGTAACTGTGAGTACTCTAAGATTGGTACTTTGTATCATTTATCTTTATATTAGTTATTTTGTGCATTGTGTGGATTTGATGAATCAAGCCCATTCTAAATGATTTGTTCAGTTTTAAGTTTGTTCTTATGTTTTACTGTTATACCACTATCTCAGGTTAGGTAGATGGTTGAGTGCACACAAACATGTTTAACTCGGCCACATTCTTAATGTGCCTTCCCAAGTAGGAGTTTGTACATCAATAGATTTCTTCTTTTATTGCTATCTGTCATAGTTGTCTTTCCTTTTAGCACAGAACAGGCTGTTGTTTTTATGATTTGAATTTTGTCACATTTTCTCATGGTTGCTTATATCCACATTATTTACATTGGTCTGTTGTGGAAAGTATTCCAGTATTGTAATAGGTAACAAAAAAACATCTGCATGTAGATTAAGGATTAAAAGTATTATGATATACTAAGTACCAATAGAATCAACAAAATGACATCTGCATGTAGCTATAGGTTAATGTCTTAAAGTATTATCATATACTGAGTACCAATAGAAATGCTACACATAATATTCAAGCACCTTTTGGTCCTCCTCAAATCAAATTTTTCAGTTAAAAAATGTGTGATTAGTCAAGGGCCCAGAAGGATCAAAATAAAAATCATGAAATTTCTACAACTTTGATCACCTGGAACTAAAAGCATTTTGGAAAAATGTTGATCAGCGGTACTTTTTGACAAACTTTGCTGTAAGTGCATCATTAACAGAATGTTGAAATTTGTCAGCCAAAACTGTAAAAATATTTTCAAACAAAAAAAAAAACAATCTCAGAAATATTGCTTATTGTGTTCTGTTGGCATATCCTTAAAAGTCTTCAAAATCTTAAAATAATAGGTAAATTTTCAAAGAATATCTGTTGGTTTAAATTTTTGCAGATATCAAGTATATTGAAAACACATGTAGAATGTTGTATTTCTATTGGTACTCAGTGCAGTATATCCTACTGCTGCAAAATATATCTTTACCTGTACCACAGAAACCATGACCTTTGAAAACTCATGATTAAGTCCACATTTAAACAGGCGAATATCTGGTTCTGAAGTAACTTGTTTTATATCTTTTAAATTTTCCATAACAACATGACGAACTCGTTTACAGTATCTGAAAGTAAAAATATTTATAGACAAATGTATGATCCATATTACTTAAATGGTTCCTAAACTAAATGTCAAAAAGTGGTTTAAATTAGAGACAAGAGAAGAATCCTTGTAATAAAAGCGTTATTCATTGATTTATCTGCACATAGCAGATTTTGTTAAGGCAAATACACCCCTCCTTCCCATGTTCCTCAAAATGATCAGCTAATTTGACAGCCTTGTGTTAGCCATGTTTATTGTTTTCATGTCGAAAAAGTTATATACAATATTATATGCCCTTATTTTTTTGTCAATGTCAATTTAGATGTTAAAAGTGGTTTTATATCTTTTCATGGAACCAATAATTTGATTGAGCATAATTAACACGTTAAACATTTATATCATATGTTGATTATTTTTGTCACTGAGTTGGACATATACCCCCATCTTTGTTTATTCATATGCATGTACATTAGAGGCTAAGGTACCAGTGGGTTACAGATACATGTAGTGTATTTGACTGAAAATAAATACTTCATGTATTTAAGATGAAGTCACAGCAAATTACAAATGCAGTGTATATAATTTTTTTTGAGTATTCATTACATGAAAAAGTACTTAATTTTTCATGTACATGTACAGCAAAAACAAAGGCAGGGTATATAGTACATACATGAGGATTTTTATCTATCTTCATTGTGGTAAACTCATTATTTTTTCAACAGCATGCAATTCTCTGACCACTTGGTAAGCCAGCAGAAGTATTTTTCTTCTCCTTTTTTCATATATATATACACACATGACACAAAATCAATACATGTTTCTGGTTTCTCGTTTTTTATACAGATTAGGACGTTGGTTTTCATGTTTGAATGGTTTTACACTAGCAATTTTTGGGGCGATTTATAGCTTGCTGTTCGGTGTGAGCCAAGGCTCTGTATTGAAGTCTGTACTTTGACCTATAATGGTTTACTTTTATAAATTGTGACTTGGATGGAGAGTTGTCTCAATCGCACTCATACCACATCTTTTAAACAAGGTTGGCAAAAAAGTGGTCAATACTAGTATTGACCAGGCCGGCGGTAAATACCGGTATTTACCGGGAAATACTGGCAAATACTGGCAAATACTGGTCAATTGAAATTTTGATAAGATATTACTATTAAATACAGTCCCTACCTGGTCAACTACAGGGTAAATGGACAAATATATTCACAGGACAGAAAGTCACTTATTTACTACATTGTAAAGGACAAAAACTCACAATTAATTAGTTTACAAGTGTTTGAATATGTAAGGGAAAATCCTTGAAATGAATTCATTGTAATGTTTATGAGATTGATAATGAACATGGTTAAATGAAGATTTATTAAATATTAATCCTACAAAGGATATTTCTTGGTACCATGAAGCCAGTCAAGAAAAAGACTATGACAGCTTGTTTTCTTAACAGTAATTTCAGCAAATGTAATAAAACAATGTCTTAAAAATTAGTCTTTTCTTAATCAAAGAAATAGTTCTTTCAAAATTGCATTGTGACTTTCTGTCCTGTGATATTTAGCCCTACATTCAATAACTGTTAGTCATGAAAATATGAAAGTTCTCAAGTCAAAATTATACTTTTTTAATGTTATCTTTTCTTATATAAATTGAAATTATACATGAACACATCATGGACAGTGATTATTAGAATAAAATTAAAGAAAAAGAAAAACAGCAGCCAAAGTATAGATCCTTCAAAAATTTCCATTTTCTGTATTTACATGATTTAGTTTTAGAAGATATTTATCATGCAGTTGAATAGTCAGGAATAAAATAATTGTTTTAAACAGTCTTCAAAAATAACTTTTATGACTTTTTTCCTGTTATGTCAACATTTATTAGGGGACAGTTGTAATATTGAATAAACTTTTGACACCTGCTTGCCATTTAATAGGTAATGCCCTGATAATCTAGTCACCTGTAATTCTATTTACCTGTTAAAATCAAACCTTTTCAAGAAAAAAATATACATGTTGAAATAACTGATATAGCAATTTTATATTCATACCTAAACTATGTTATATCATTACCCATAAGAACTGAATAAGTCATTATTCATGCTAATAATTGATAAAACATACCAATATCAATCCTTTTTATAAACTGAATCATGCCATATGAATAAAGTTAAAATAATTTCCCCTATCAACTAAGATTTAACTAACATTGATAGTAAAATCTGTCAAAAGAACCATGAAAATTTCAATTGTCCAGTATTTGCCAGTATTGACCACTTGAGGAGTATTGACCAGGGCGGTAAATACCGGTAAATACCACTGGTAAATACCGGGGGTGGTATTTACCGCCCAACCTTGCTTTTAAATCTACATATATGAGGCTGCCTTTTACCTGATTTGATGACAGAGAATGAGAATTTTTTGCCAGATTTTAACATGTTTAAGGTACATTGTAGTAAGGGTATAACAAAAAATTATAATATTTATTTCATACTTAGCCAAAAAATAGTTTTTATCCTTGTAACTTACTGTACTCTCAAACAGCATAGGTCTGCAAAGACTCCAACAAAGCTGGTACAAAAATCCTCAAATGGTTGATTTTTTCTTCTGTAGTCTTTTACATCTTCAAAAAGAGCTCTAATTCCTGCAACAAATACCTTTAACTTCAAAACCCACCAGGATCTGAAATAAAACAATAAGTACAAATTATCTTTTATGTCTACTTTCATACATATATGTAAGAACCTAAAAACCCTCTGCTGATATAATGTACATGTGTATGTTCTTACAGGCATTAATTGATAGAAGACCATACATTGTGAATTGATAACACTCCCATAAAATGTAGGTGTACATTTGTAAATACAAACATTTAAATTGAAACTTGAAACAACATTGTTTCACTGATCTGCCTTAAACAGCAGAGAAATGTGAACTGTCATGATGGAAAAATTATGTAATAGTCATTCTTTTGACAGTTTACATTTTATTTTAAAGTGGCCATGGACAGGCTACAAAAGGTAGATGAAAATGAAAATTTTAAGGCATTTAAAAAAAGAAAAGACTATTTACATTATTTCTTAGAGAACAGATATACATATGCATATAAACATGAAAATGAAAAATAAAAATCTTAGGATCAGTTATGATACAATGTAATATGGGGATGAGGTCCCCAAATCAGTAAGAAAATCAATAAAACAATAAATAAATATAAGAATCAATATACTAATGAACTCAAAATTGTTAATTTTTTTTTCTAACAGTTGAGCTTGCGCAGTACCCTGTTCCTATTCTGTTGAAGGACGCTGCCATGTTGTAAGTCATAGGATTTCCCGCAAATTTGTATAACTGATTACCAAAGAAATAATGAGGATGAACAGTTTGAATTTATTTAGTTTGTGTACGTAATAAAATGAGTCTAGAGCTCATTCAACATCTGATTTTATTGCAAATAAAATGAGTTCTCTGGGAAACTTCAACTCAGACCAATCGGGCAGATTTTTGTATCTGTAAAAAGATCAGTAATTATAAGCTGACTTTGTATATATATACACTACAGCTCAGGTGGATTTTGCTTTGTCCACCCGCCCACAGTGGATGTGGGCACCGGGTGGGCAAAATTTTTAGCTTGTCCACTCTGCCCACCCATAGGATTGGGCATTCAATTTCTTTTGTTGAATGAAAAGACTTGCAAGTACAATCAATTGAAAAAAGCAGATAAGCATTTGTAATCAATATTTTCCCAAAAATAAGAGAATGTACTTAGATAGAGTGGGCACAGGTGGGCTGTCCACTAAGGGCAGGTGGAAAAGCAAAATCCACAAGGGCTATTGTGTACAATCGTTGTTTTTAGGCATAAATTATTATGTGTTTAATTAAACTAAACTTTAAACAAGAAAAATACAATGCTTCCTGAAGGTAGCATTTCTTTGTTTACATTGAAAGTTACATCATATATAAAATTCCTAACAATAGGACCAACATCGGATATGTTTCCCTAATTCAGTTACTATTTAACCAGAAATTATGCTGGGAATTTTCTAATGCAATATATAATGTTAATATATATAAATCTGCTGTTAACAGGATATTGTAAAGTATTCAAAATGTTTGCTGACTTGATGCAGGATGTTTCGGCCACACTGCTGTATTGACCAAAGACGTTTCGGCCACACATGCCACAGTCTTTTCATCCATACTGCCAGTTAGGCCGTACTTTTTAAAGTCGTTTTGGCCATGGTTTTTATTATTATGAAGGAAGGAAAATATAATTGTTTTAGAATCAGAAACAATAAAAATTACATTTTAATCGTTTATTTATATTCATTGATAAAAATGTGTTTTAATTAAGAATGTTATAAAAATATTCGTAAAATTTAGATTTTTTGATAAAAAATAATATTTTATAACAAGAAAATGAAAAGTGATAGGCCTATATAAGATAACAAGATATCATAATTATTGAAAAGTGAAGAAGATGGTTCTTTTCATAATAAGGCAAAAAAAAAATATATGACTGTTTAAGGTTACATCATAAAAAAAATAGGGTAGGTGTAGGTCGGTATCTCCTTTTTATTTTATTTTTCATTTAATTTTTTTCAACATGATTTAGAGTCATACGGTCTGTCTTGCTGTGGTCTGAGTTGTCAATGGGCAGGATTATCCATATTTTTAATGATTGGATTACTTCCCTTGGTGATTGGTTGGAAAATAATGGCAGCAAAGTGATTATTTCATCACACGAGTCGTGAGTTTCTTAAAACAGCTGTCAAATTCACGATTGTGAACATTTAGATGTATCAGGCAATGGATTTATTTTATTGGCAACTCTAACTTTCGCTTTTGACACGAGTTCAGTTAATTTTTCACTTTACAACGGGAATGACTTAGGGTTGGTGCTCAAAAGAAGCAGGGGTTCAAATAAGTGTGGGTCCGAGGTCCTAGACCTGTCTTTTCTAGGAGAGGACTTTTCATTTTTAAATAACAAAAGTCCAGGACCTACCATTCTTTACACTGATGTTTTACACACGACCATTGATTTCTTATGGAGGACCTTTCATTCAAAATTTCAATTGGTCCTGGACCTTTCATTAATTAAGGCAAACTTGAAATTATGTCCGTCAGATGGGGACGTTAAATCTGAGGTCCGGTGTTCAGGGAGTACCACGCTCTTTGCACATTAAAGAGCCTTCTCAACAACCTCTTTTTGGAGGTCCATACATGTAAGTGACCGGTTGTTTGGCAAAATTATTTCATACTGGTTTTGGCTTTGATATATTTTTCTGTGGTTTATAATTTAACCATTTGGTAATTTGGTTTTCATGGTCTAACTTTTGTCTAAAATCTGTTAGCAGTCAGGGGACTTATTGAAATGAGTGATTTTTAAATCACTTATTTAAGTAGCAAATTCAAAGTTTTGTCACAAATTGTGATTTCTTAGTTTTACCAAAATTTTAAACACATAGGTTTAGATAATATTTTTTCATTAGTAAAATTGAAAAAATGAACCTTTTGCTCCTTTTAAATAGCAATGCCTTAGATGCAATCATTAAGCTGTAAATTCTATTTTTCCTGTAAAATTCAAGGTTTCATCTTACAGATTATGTAATAAAATTCTACTGTTCGCCATCACAATTTTACTGTTCGGGGGTGTTGAAATTAGTGGGGGTTATTAAAATAATGATACTTAAAAGAAGTATTTTTTTGGAAGAAAATAGATGTATGATACTTAAACAAGTGATTTTTATGTCATTATCCCAGATTCAGTACAAGGTCATCACCTGACATGACCCGGTCATCCTATCAACACAGATGTTGGTTCTGATAAATTTAGTAACATAATTTAGCCCCTGGATCATTATATTTTTAGTATTGTATATTTAAAGCTACAATAAAATTAAATCACTTAGTCTAGTGATTTATTTGTACTACTTAAATAGGTGATTATTAAAGAAGGACTACTCTTACTTCCAACTCTTGTGGACATAATGTTACTTGAATCAGTGATTTAGAAAATCACTCATTTAAGTAAGTCCCCTGACTGGTTAGTATTCATACTTTGATGAGTTGAGCCTTTTTTCAATTAATGTTTTATAGTGTGTCCTTTTATGTCGTATTGTTACACCACTGTCTCAGGTTAGGTTGAAGGTTGGCGCCAGATAAAACGTTCAAACCCGCTGCATTTGTTTGCACATGTCCTAAGTCAGGAACCTTATGTTCAGTGGTTGTTGTTTGTTGATGTGATTCATAAGTGTTTCTCGTTTCTCGTTTTTTATATACATGTAGATTAGACTTGGTTTTCCTGTTTGAATGGTTTTTACACTAGTCATTTTTGGGGCCCTTTATAGCTTGCTGTTCGGTGTGAGCCAAGGCTTAGTGTTGAAGGCCGTACTTTGACCTATAATGGTTTACTTTTACAAATTTTGACTTGGATGGAGAGTTGTCTCATTGGCACTCATACGGTAAAATTGTCAAAAGTTAACACAATTTTACTTAGTAATTTTTTTTGTAATGCTCACTTGTCTCTTTCTTCAAGTTCTTTTATTTCATTTTCACATGTGTCCAGTGCATCTTCAACTATTTTACTCTGATGATGGAAGGAAGTCAATGGCATACTGAACGATAAATACTTGTTGACAAAGTCGATGTATTCATCTTGTTCTTTGCTAAGTGGAGATACATCTCTTGCTACCATTGCAAATAAATCTAGAGGTTCTTCTATGTATCTTGAGGCATATTGAATTTTTAGATGGTGTTGTACGTGTAATCGTTCCCATTTTGATACTGTTTTAGATAATTTTGTTTTTTGGGTATCCCGTGGACTGCTGATTCTTCGTCTTCTTCTGGAAGGTGATGAGGATGTTTCGCTTTCTTCAGATGAATACGCTGATGAACAAGATTTAGATGGCATATTCATTTTCATAGCGATCGCGGTTGAATGACGTCTCTTAAGTGCAAAATAACTTCCCATAAAACATCGTGCTATTAGGAGTTCCAAAGAGGAAGATCAAAATAAACCAAAACTGGAAACGGAGAAGTCCAGAGTCCGGAACAGAAAAATACATAAGAAAAGAGGAAGGGGTTTCCGAAATGAATATTTCAAAAGTGGCTTCGTAAAAACCGGTGTAAATAACACCCCAACCCAGTTGATCAGGGGTAACTGGTTCGCGTTATTTTAAACCAAGTTTTAATTATATAGTTTTATCTAAATGAAATTTTTCAAATGTACATACATTATTTTGATTTTTTTATTTTGTTTCTTTTTATTTTTCTTGCTACAATGTAAATTAAAATTTTTTATAGTCGACGCCAGGCGAATAATCTTCAATAATTGAAGGATCGCTAGAAACTTAAAGAAGAAAGAAGAAGAATTAGCGTGGGGCGTTTGTCTTCCCGCGGACAACGTTCCGGTGTACTAGCACTTTAAAGTCCTGTAATAACAGTAGGCTAGCACAAAGCAGTCAAAATTATACATACACCCTTTGGTTTTCTTTTCTTTTCTTTACTTACTCTTTTTTTTTTTTAATCTTTTTTATGTACATATAAAACCTTATACTAAATATTTTTCTGAAATTCACATAGTTTTTACACATATTTAGGCCTATTTCGGTTTATAGCAAAATATTTGGCAACTAAAATCACATACACAATTTGCTCTTTACTTGGCTGCTGGTGTACCATGACAATGTTGCTGCCGCTCACTGCCGTTTGCTTGGCCTAGCTTTCCTCCTGTTCCGGCTTTTCGTATTTTTATTTTTTATTTTTATTTTCTTTTGTTCTTTATTAAAATTTCCATTTTTATTTTCTTTTATTTAATTTAAGTTCTATTTATTTTTATCTTTTATTTTTATTCATCAATTCATTTATTTAATTTATCTTTCAAATTATTGTTCATTTTACTTTTTACTCATGTTAGGTTTTTTCATTGTCACTCAAAACAAGCCAGGCCGATCGTGCAGGACCCTCATGGGTAGTCAAGGTCGTTAAAAACCACCATGAGCTCGTCGATCAAGGTATAAAATTTTGAAAGATTTTGAAGCAAACTATTTCAATCCTAATATTATTGAAAATTAATAGTTTTGGGCTAAACGCTGGGGAAGTTTTTTTCATCATTTGTGGAAGGAATTACCTGGGATATAGATATGATCGTGCCACTTATAATCCCACCTCCTTTTTGCCCTTCCATCCAGGAATTTCCCTTCACGTACTGTTGCACTCAAATTAAACACAGAATGAAAATAAATTAATTTGACCTAACAAAAAAATCTTTGATTTCACCCCCAAAATATTGAGAATTAAAGTATAGGACGTACATTCATATTAAATTGCACATTGCTAGAACACAATGAAATATCCGTACCAATGTTAAAATCGTTATATAAATAGAAAGGAAACACGAAAAAAGTTCAAAAAGCATTGCATAACAAATATCTTCTTCTTCTTTAGGTACAGAAAACCATCAACATTTTGAAGATTACTTTCCGGCGCATGCCTGAGTGAGGTTGCTTTAAAGTTAATTACAATTTTTCTTTTATTTATAATCTTTACAATTTTTATTTGACTTTTAATTTTTACATTTTTTTATATATTTTTTTTTTCATATTAAGATAGGCATATTTAGTTTAGGTGAGAGAATGTTTTAAGGAGGACTTCATGGGTAAGTGCATCCTTAAAGTTGTCTGTAGAGGTTTGATTTGAAATTTCAGGTGGTAATTTATTTCAATCTTTGATTGTTTGGCTGAAGAATGAGAATTTAAAACTGTCTTTGTTACATTGGAGTTGTCTGTATGTTCGTTGATTAGGTAGGTCTTGTTTTGGACTGGCTTTTTTTATGAGAATGTCTTGCAATGGTATTGCAATTTCATTGTTTATGACTTTATGGAACATTTGAAGTCTAGTTTTTAACCTGCGTTCTTGTAAGGTTTGCCAGTTTAGTTTATGTTGCATTTCAGATACACTGCTGGTGTTGTGATATCTGTTGCAAGTAAATCGTGCAGCTCTCCTTTGCACTTGTTCCAGTATGTATATGTTTTCAGAAGTGTGTGGATCTCAAACTGTGCAGCAATATTCTAATTTTGGTCTTACTATAGTTTGATAAGCTCTTATCTTTACTAATTTTGAGTTAATTTTTAGATTTCGTCTGATAAATGATAAGGATTGATTTGCTTTTGCTGCTGATTGTTATATATGTAAATTTGTTCCATTTAAGATCTGAAGACATTGTAATGACTAGATATTTTGCTGATTGTACTTGTTCTAGGATATGGCCATGCATGTTGTAATAAAAATGTATTTGTTTTTTCTTTGTTGAGACTCTTAGGATGTTACATTTGTCAGGGTGGAATGACATGAGCCAGTCTTTCTCCCATTTTATAGCTGCTTCTATGTGTTCTTGTAGCTTAAGACAATCGTTTTGGCAGGTAAAAGGCCGGTAGATAAAGCAGTCATCTGCAAAGAATCTTATTTGGATGTGTTTATGGTAGTCAGGTAAGTCGTTTATATATATAAGAAAGAGTATTGGTCCTAGTACAGCGCCCTGAGGAACGCCTGATATCGATGTTACCTGAAATGCCATAGTGTTTTAATTTGTAAAGTAAGCGTTTGTGTAGCACTTTATCGAATGCTTTGGCAAAATCCATGATTACTAGATCAGTTTGTATATTTTTATCATTGTTTTGAGCAAGTTGCATGGTGTATAAGAGATATTACTTGTGATTTGCATGATCTTTTTGCTCTAAATCCTTGTTGTAGTCCATAAAGTATTTTATTAGTTTCGAGTTGTTTCATCATGTTGCTAGCCAGTATATGTTCAAGTAATTTACATGACATGCAGGTAAGTGAAATTGGTCTATATTTACCAGGATGATAAAATTGAGAATGGAAATGGGGAATATGTCAAAGAGACAACAACCCGATCAAAGAGCAGACAACAGCCGAAGGCCACCAATGGGTCTTCAACGCAGCGAGAAAATCCCGCACCCGGAGGTGGTCCTCAGCTGGCCCCTAAATAAAATTGTGTACTAGTTCAGTGAAAATGGACGTCACACTAAACTCCCAAACATATAAATGAACTAAAATTAAAAAACATACAAGACTAACAAATGCCAGAGGCTCCTGACTTGGAACAGGCGCAAAAATGCAGCGTGGTTAAACATGTTTTGTGAGATCTCAACCCTCCCCCTATACCTCTAGCCAATGTAGAATAAAGAAACACATAGTAATACGCACAGTAAAACTCAGTTTAAAAGAAATCCGAGTCCGATGTCAGAATAGGTAACAAAAGAAACTAAGCAAAATGACAAAAATGATGTTTGTCTCCTTTTTTGAATACTGGTGTAACGTTGGCATGGTTCCAGTCCGATGGTACTTTGCATGTTTCTAGAGATTTGCTGAAAATGATAGTAAGTATATCTGAGGTTATTTCGGTGTTTTCCTTCAGTATTTTGCCAGCAATAGTATCTGGTCCTGTAGCTTTGTTGGTGTTTATGTTTTAATAAGTTTGTATACGCCTTCTCGACTGATGTTAATTTGTTCCATTTTAGGGTGTGAACTAGGTTCCATCGTTGGTACTTCTGTATTTGTTTCTGATGTGAAAGAAGATTGGAATTGGTTGCTTAATATGTTTGCTTTTTCATAGGGGTTTGTATGAAGGGTACCTTCGCTTCGTAAAGATGCAATGCCGGTGTTTTCATTTCTTATATATGAGTATAGCTTTTTGGGTTGCTTGTTGAAGCATTGCTGGTCTGGTTCGTACATGGAGCGATTTATTTGTTGGCAGTTGATGTGATACCACTGTCCACAGCTGTCACAGCAGACAGCTTCATTTTGCCATGTGACTGCATATTTGCATGTTCCGCAAGGATATTTTGGTGTACGTGGCCCTGGATTTGGTTCAAGGGCATAGGAGTTGGTAAGTTGATTCGCGAAACGTATATATATTCATAAAGGTGCATATCACATATGTTTACATCATTGTTGTTTTCTGACCTGAAGAATCCTCATAAAACTTATCTGGTGCATCTATCTCCTCTACAAAGTTGTATTCGTATATAGCAGTCTTTATTGTACATAAATTAGGCCGTTAGTTTTCTCGTTTGAATTGTTTTACATTTGTCATTTCGGGGCCTTTTATAGCTGACTATGCGGTATGGGCTTTGCTCATTGTTGAAGGCCGTACGGTGACCCACTGTTGTTAATTTCTGTGTCATTTGGTCTCTTGTGAAGAGGTGTCTCATTGGCAATCATACCACATCTTTTTTTATATTTGCCACAAAAAAAAAAGAACAACCACTTATACAGTTACTATCTTACTTAACTTCGAGGTTGTATCAACTATGGAATATGTAAAGATGACCTGCTCGTTATTGCCTTATTGAAAAATATCACTGAAAAGTATGTTAGTGTGGTCGACATGTTGCTAAATGCTGTATATCGATCATATATGACAGAAACGCAACATGAAATTTCATTGAAATCTAACCATTCTTTTAAGAGCAAAGAAAAGTATGTAGTTAAATGGTTACAAAATGTTGATTATGGCTACTCAAATGTTCCTAAACCGCATTTTTCTTCACCAGCAGATTGTACTATAGCTAGTAAGATAACTAAGTGTACGCACACTCGGCGGAGGAAAGGAGATTTAAACCCAAGATAAATTCCGCTTCAATGGTGTTTTTTTTTTGGAATTTTCGGAATATCTGCTTATTATCGCGTGCACAGCGGAGAAGTTGATCTCACCGAGGATAGCATCCATGGCGTACTTAAATCCTTAATTGATTGAAATTGTAAAACCCGACCCGAAATAATCCGATTGAGTTCACTAAAAAGATCGGAGATTATCCAGCATTTGCATATTCAATATAAGAGACCCTTAAGTATCAAGAAAATAAACAGATCATACTCTAAATTATCCGAATTTAACTTGACATAAATCCAATAAAGTTTTACTTAGACAAACATGT